TGATTTTTTAAAACTGGTATTGTGTAAAAATTCAAATTTTGGATTAATATATTTCTTTGAAAAATACAGTTAATTTGAATTTTAACCTGAAAAACACTATCTACTTCCAATTTTCTATCAAACGCCGCCAGCATCGTTTCAACTGATTTTCATATATTAACTCATACACAAAAAAAACATCCCATTAAAAATCTATAAAAACTWATCAAACAAACAGTAGCGTCAAACCCAGGATGTTAGTGGTGTGGGCACCGGGTAGTGGCTCCATCCAGCTCATGATTTAATTCATTTATTTCATATTTTGATAGAACGTAACTAATTACATTCAAAACATATTGAAATTTTATAAGTTTTTTGTTCATTGCATTTTAATAGCTAGTCAGTTTACTATATTTTAAACAATCTCAATGGTCAGTTTTATTTAAATCTGTACATTTTACTTGACAATTAATAACATTAATTAAAAAATTTACATTTTTATCTTAATTTTATACTTCCTTTTTTTCATTCTTTCTTTAATTAAATACTTAATAGAAGTTCTAATCTAATTCAAAAATTCAAAATGTTGTTATGTTATTGACTAAACAGATGACACCTTATATTTTGTGTTACTTTTAGATATACTTTACTTAAAAAGAAATTAGTTTAAAATAATAATCTTAGATTTTACGCTCAAGACAAATGTAGTAATTATTTTATGATCAATCGTTTAAGGTTTAAGATATGGTTATTCCAATGCTTAATTGCTAAATTGATTGYTGTTCTTCAGAAATCTTCGAGCGTAAGTAAGTCTTAAGTTTAAGTTKTATACATATTATTAGTGTCAAAAGGTATAGGCATATAAAATTATACTTATTTGACCCAATGATTAAAATATCATGTATATAATATTAATATTATAATACAYTGAGATATTATTACCCAAATGAGATATATGAGGTACGATAATAATCGAAATATTTAAAAAAAATAGATAGTTCGTCCACARAAATCAAATGAAAATTGTATATCAATAACGGTTAAAAGCTAAAACAAACCTCTAAAAACAATATACCAAAAAGTGTTTGTTCTCTAACATTTATAACTAAATCTTCCAAACAAGATGTAATAATAAACTATACCACCATAAAGAAATAAAGGAAAATTGAGAGGACTGTGTAGTTTCAAAATTGTTAAAATTGTATGTGTTTGTTCAACTGAACTTGTATTTTGTTAGAATGGAGGTTATATAAAGAAAAAAAAACAATGAGTTWGCTGACTTCCAGAGTTGGCAAATCATACAGAAACACAACATAAATCAGACTTGATTTTAATACTTTTTTAAAAAATATTCAAATATTTAAATATAGGTATTCAAAGTATAATCAAAATATTAAATTTATTTTTTATCCCATTTATAATTTTACGCAAGGATAACAATCTTTGAATTAATTACGAAAAAAGATATTCACAAATTAAATTGCTGTGTGTTCAAACATTTTAATYCATTCGCGTCTTGATATCACGTACAATTATCTTGTCTTTTTTACTGAAATATAAGAAATGAATCACAATAGTAACTGTCATGATATATTTAAATAAAAAAAAATAAAACTATCAAATACAATAATTTTACTTACATAATATAAACCTTTGCACCCCAACCAGAGATAGCATCACGATTGCAAGCACTAACTAAAGCTTGTGATATAGTTTCAAATAGTTGATCTTCTTCCATATCGGGCTCCCAAAGAGCTTCACAAAGACCATATAATTGACTTGAACTAGTTCCTCCCACCACAAAGTTATCGGACTTATTAACACAACCAATTAAATCCATGTCACACATATATGGTTCCAATGTCTCTTCATCCAAAGCAACAATCATTGGTTCGACGAAGAATGGTGAAAATCTGTTAAGTACAAAACAAAGTGATTAATAAAAACATATAATATGCAAAMAAATTAAAAATTATTTTACATTATTGCAGCTAAAAAATTGAAGCAGATTTAATTGTATACAGAAATTAAATCATGGCATTATAATGCGAACACTAGATTATATAAATATCGGAAGAGTTAAATATAACCAATTCTAATGGATTTATCAATGAAGAGTCAGTATGAAAAGTTAAACAAAAAACTATTATGAATTAAGTATTATACATTAAGTATTATATCTAATAGCTTTTATGCTAGTCCTTGAATATCCAACTGAATATTTAAACATATAGTATAAGTCGCTGCCTGTAAATAATTTTACTTGATTAAAAAAATGTATGCAAACATAGTTTATAACAATGATTATCAAAGATTTCAAAATAACTATTCCCCACCAAATAAAATAAAATTTTGACGTTTGTACATRCATAATAGATAGGTTTTATAACATGTTGGTGATTTCTAAGGGGACTAAGAAGAATCACTGATCTAAATATAATCCAAATTTTCAATTAATTAATGTGTCTTATTTAAAAATAATTTACCTGTTTTCATACAACAAATTGGATACCAAAGATGCTAATGCCTTAGGAGATATTTTCCGATTCTCTTTTAACTCGTATAACCTTTTTCTGAACATAATTTTCTCGTACACAGTAAATATATCTGTAGCTAAACCAGGAAATCCCATATATGTATGAGGATTTATTTGAAAGACTTTCTATAATTCAAAATTAAAACAATTAAATATAGATAATAATACAAAATTAAATTAAACCAACATACTGAAAAATCAAGAGACACTGTTTGAGCTTGAATACCAAATCGCTTATCAGTGGCAATGGCAACACAATCCTTGCCTTTCATTCCAATCAAGGCACCACCATTATAATCCAAAATACTCTATAGCAAAATAATTTATATGGGGTTCATAAAAACAACAATTTGAAAATATTAAACTACCGATCAGTTCTGTTTAAATATGTCTAACAACTTARAAAGTGATCTGGTAGTTACTATTAATGCTTATAGGTTTAATATTATAACGATCAGCATTGTAACTTTTAAATAATAACTTATTACATATTAGCATTAAGATACTTAAATAAATTATACATAATATTATATCCTTTTGTATCGAAACACAAGTATTATATTATTATCATCAATAACAGTGTAATTCGTTAAACGATATAATAAATTGGTACTTTACCATTTTGAAAGAAGTAGTTGATTAAATWATGCTCCTGAAAAATCGTAAATAGGAAAATCCTTAGAACAGTTTCGACTGTTTCGAGTTTTTGAAAAAACCTAAACACTAAAAAGTGCTAATTCACTATCATCTATCAGGTTATAATATTCTGTTTATGTGCGATTATCACGCATGCGCAAAAACTAAATAATTTGTCATTTTAATTTATTATCAGTGATTTCTTTTGTATAAGCGGTTGTAGAAATGAAACCATGGTTGTGGAATTAGCTATGAACACAACTTTTCTAATTGGACCATAATGTCCGCGCAATTTTTAAAATATAAAATACTGAATTATACATTTTTTCTTTTTTTTTTAAAAATAGGCTATGAATAAAATAATTAAATAAATATAAATTGTGTACACTGTAAATTTATAATATCTATCATAATTATCCTAATTTATTATTGTTTGTTTTCCTGTAGTAATTTTACCTATATTATTGTTACAATGTTAGTATGTTACTATAAAATCGCTTGATTGCGGCCCAAACTAACCTTTATACCTTTTTCATATCCCGATTGCGAGAAATTATGGGCAAGAAATACTTTTTTCCAGAGGTTATTGAAACTAATTAAATATCCCRATACGTATTTTAATACAAATATAACTATCACATTCACAACTCACGTCTCACATATTCACCGATTTTCGACGTGATGATTTCCTGCAGTCCATAAAATATTAGATAAATGAACAGATGAAACTGTAAGATTGCAAGATTTCTAGTGGAACTCAATTGCATAATACAGTTTTACGATTATTACTTTAAAAAATGAAACTGATGAGAATTAGCGAAATTTTAAGCGAAAAACATAAGCAAATGCAATAAGCAGGCCCTATTTTTATATGTACMGAGATGACTAGCTAGGCCAATCCGGCCCTGGTAATAAGTTATAAAAATCTACATGACACCATAATAGTGGTTGAAATAGGGGTGCTTGAGTAGACATAGCCCCCCCCCTGAACATTTTTTTCTATTTGCGCAACTGCACTATGATTATTAACTAATTTTGTTTTACGCTATAGAGTATAATATTTATTAACGTCATACTTAATATATTATATTAATTTAATCCATACAAAAATATTTAAGATGCATTTTAATGGAAACATATGTTTATAAAACTTTAATTCTATTTTACTTTTACCTAGATACATGTATTTTATAAATTGCATATAATGTTATTTTGTGAACAATGTGTGTTTAGAATTTTGACACAGYGGAATACTTATAAGTTATATTTCAATATTTGAGATATAATATGACTATACAGATAAATACCTGAATTTGAGCAACAATAATTGTGCATTTGTGCATCTCGGAACCAGTGGCGAATACAATAAGGGTTAGTGTGGATCTAGTAAGCTGCAGCCCCCACCGTAATTGTTAAATATATACTACCCTCTAGGTGCTAGATCATTTTTTAGTTTCTATATATTATAGCCCACTCTGAAAATTATTTCTATATGTATACGCCACTGTTGCGTACTAACAAGCTAWAACTACTGCCTACTAGCCTATATACGGGCATATGGCTAGGCGACTAGGCATATTATAAAAAATAGAAATACATAACTTTCGTACACTATAAACAATGTCATTATGCCAATGAAGGATAAAAATCGCTAGTGTTTTGGGCCTTTGAAGGACTAATTGTATMAAAACACTATTTAAAACACTAAAACAGTAAAAACAACATGCTGCTGGATGCCCCGATTATTTGAACCACATATTCGTATTCGCTAGTCGCGACGAGTATTGGTTGATAGGACAATTATTAATAAAATAAACTGAGCATGCGCGAATAGAAATGTCGCATATTTATCTATTTCAATTGATAATTGATATTATATCACGGTCTTAGATATTATAATATCTGTCCGTGATAAATATGAAATATCGATCAGCGCCCAGTGGCCATAGTTTGCCAGCTCACTTAATAATTTGGGCTTTGGGCACAATGGGCACATCAATCAACTCGTCGCTTTTAATAATATGTGCGTCAAATTATTTACCTTTACACGGACGCAATGGGCAATCATTAACATAATATTATAGGTATATTATGCTACTAGATATCTAAGGACTAAGARTAACATTGGACTTCCGGTATTATAATTTTAAATGTTTWAAGTACTTACCTATTTGCTAATATAAAATATTTATTTAGTATTTTAATCATGGTCATGGATAAATGCAGACCAACACGACTCCACGAGTTTGAAACGTGAGGCAGTTTATATTATTAATGTTTTCTGCGTGATCTGTTGTTCATGTTAACAAATGAGCAATGGCTCAACAACTGTCTGGTGTCACGGTGGTGATATTTATAGCTGGTGGAATATTGACTTTTATATTGCTGTTCATATTTGCCAAGAGGCAGATCATGAGATTTGCACTGCGATCGAGAAGAGGKCCGCATGTGCCAATTGGACATGATGGGAAAAAAGTAAGGATTTGAAGTCCACGATTGTCTTCTTAACGGTTTTAAAGGGTTTTGCTAAAAATTTTACCACTCGATTGTGTTCTATCAGAAAAAAAAATGAATCACCAATAATTTATCACAACTTGTTTTGTTCTTTGGTTTTCTTTTTTAATTGGCTTAAGATATTTTAATCCAACCACTTAATCATAGCATAAAGAGTAATATACCGTGRTAWAATGATGTATATAGTAMGKAGTAAACATAGATTAAGTCTAATAACTWCTTTTGAAATTAAGCTATAGAGTCTATGTGATATAATTGACAGTAAGTGTTAAGCCTTAAGCCTCTCAGATGCATTATAACATCTAAAATAATTTGTATAGTAATAGTGATTATAAATCAGTAGCCCCTATTGCCCTAATTATAGTAAAAAATACATAATATCTATTTTGTATTTTAGACAACATACCTATATTTATTTTTGTTAGACACTGAAAAGAGAAATTGAACGGCGAATAGAAGTGGTTCCAAAAATTGCTTTTGAACCAAAATTAATGACAACTGATCAAGACGATGACCATTCTAAATATATATTACCACCAGCAGAATCTAATGACAAACCATTGTTGTCTCACCATTTCCGTATGAAAGCAGTTGATGATGTCAAAAAGTTAGGTAATATAAGAACAAACCTGGTTACATTGTTGGTAAATAGTGTAGCTATATTGTGTATGAATTGATTCYAAAACTGTATTAAAAGCAATAGAAACCATTTATMATGACACCAGTTTCAGTGGAATATTAGRCGTAATGACCTTAGAATTTAGATTGAAGGTCCCACCAAAACTTATATTGTTTATACTAATTTGTGACATCTGTTTAAAGATTAGTTGGATGTGATGGCAGTTTTTTTTTTATAGAAAAATCTTGTGTTTATAATGACTAATAAACTTTTATTGAAAATGCTATAACAACCGATAATACTAAAAACTAAAAACAAATTTCATGAATACAATTTTAATTTAATTTTTAAATAATAAATCAACTTTTTTTATGTATATATTGAAGTCATTATKTAGAGATAAAAGTATGACACATTGATTATAATACAATATTATRTTTATATAAATAGACATTAAGTTTTTGAATTTGATTTTATCATTTGGGTAATTTTTACTAGTCCCTTGAAGCCCATTATAAATGGTTTATACTGTATTTTAATAAAGTTATATGGTCTCTATTAAGTTGTTATTTATTGATTATGAAYTTAAAAGTTAATAAACTACGACACTTTTAAACATACCTACATTTGTGAACAGCCCTAAGTCTATATGAAATGATAAGGAAATCGTAAAATTAGAAACCAATTTAGTTTTKTGGGTTCAATTCATAGTCAACTTAACATTATATCAATAAACATTTTATTACAAAATTAAAATAAGTTGTACTTTCAGAACGTGAAATTTCCAAACAAGATAAAACATTGACTCGTCATCCTAACGAAAATATTCGTTCATTTTTACTTAATACATTAGCAGTACTTTTGGATGGTAGTGGACAGCACATAGTTCATCAATTCTGTGATCTCTATGAACATGCTCGTTATGATCCAAATGAATTTTTGGATGAAGAATACCAATCCTTTTTAAGATTAATGAAAAAACTAATTGATATGTAAGTTAAAAAATGATCAATTTATTTTTAGTACATTTCAAAGTTTATATTATATTACTTTAAAGTTTAAGTATTAATATACACAATTATTTAACAGTGAAGATATATAATATATMTATTTTTTTATTTTTTATTAAATTTAAAACAATATTGTTTTCATTTATTACAGTGCTAAATTATTGAAATCGTATTCTGGTGAAAGTCGAAAAAACAGTCCCAATAAAACTCCAACTCGTAACAACAATATGCGAACTGTTACTAATGAAGGTATTAGAACAAAAGACAGGGATTTGAACCGCTTAAAAGTTTTATAAGAACTGAGAAGTAAATATATTTTTATGCAATAAATTAATTTGGATAAAATAATTTGTTACTTTATGTAATTAATATTAATAAAACCTGATAATTTCTAAATATTTTGGTAAATGTAGATTGTATTATATGATTTGTGTAAAAATATGTAATATATATATATATATAAATAAATATATTTTTTTAAATTTAATATTTAAAGTTTTATTTTTTAAAACATAAGTAATTTAATTTTACATAGACAACATATTGCTATACTAATATGTAAAATAAGAACCTTTGAAAGCCCTAAATTATACAGACAATTTCTGTGCTATAAGAAAAAAAATATTAAACACTATTAATATTAATTCATTATCTATATATTTTGTTCCATTAAATATCTTAAATTAACTGAAAAATGGATGTTTTTTTTCATTTATTAAAACCATTCCTAAAATGATTATTTGAAGCCTTTCAGTATATTATTTAYATAATTTTAATGTCATTGAAGTGTTCAAGAATATTTAGAATAAAATTATTTAAAAATCGGTTTTATGATTAATCCACCTTTAAAATATATTTATAAAGACAATAGAAAAGTACAACTATGTACAACGGCACTATAATTTGAAATTTGTAAGAGTAAGATATAATTTTTAATTAAAGCATTATTGTTTATCGCATCTAGTTTTATGAAAATATAAATTTTAATCTTAAAGTATTACCTACACAAATATTAATATATATTACATCACTATCAGTCACATTTTTAAACTCCAATCATTTTTTTCACAATCATATAGTTAAATAAGATAGACCATTTTTATTTTTTGTTTTACAAACCTTTTAAATAGTTTTAATGTATTCTTTTAAAAAATTCTAAAATGTATAATTCTTTGTTTTCCACATATTAATGTACTAATTYCTAATATTAAGTAGGCGCACTTGTGAACAAAATATTGCATAATAACATGGTTTCATACTTCAAATAATACGGCTTATTGAAGCGGTTTACAGCRAAAACACCTATTATAAAAATTGTAGAGGATAATTTTACCTAGAATCGTAAAAAGCTCAATTTTCCATATTTTTATTAATTAGTTTAGTAATTATTAGTCGATAAAAAGTTTAAAAAAACTTGTTAATATACTATGCGATATTGGGCGATTAGAATAAGATATAAAAAATCRGACTTCATATGATTCAAGAAAAAATTCTCCTYTCAATTTTTATATTTATTTTTACTGTACTGTACATATAAAATGTTATGTGTCATAAATTGTTATCCGGCCCTACCTCTGCATCAATTTTGACATTTTCCATGGAATAATATAGATGATAGCTAATATGTTATG